CCAACTGGAGGATAATTGAAGTTTTGGTTCTTCAATGATTGTGAGATCTAAATAATTTTCATTGTTCTTTTACTTCTTTGCTATTTATATATTTTATATTCTTATTAAGAATTATTGTCTTGCTTGATTGTGCAAAGGGCCCGTTGTTCAATTATCAAGTTGATAAATTGCCATTTAGAACTTTAAATCCGTAATTGTTTAAACGTTCTAATATTAGTGGTAAAGTAACATAGTTGATTTTGATTATGTTATGAAGATATATAACCTAGTCTAAATGAATCGAGCTTGTGTATTTGTTGGCTAGAATTGGTGGTCCCTCTAGTGGTTAATACTGTTGGTGGATTAAATCTTAAGAGCTTGTCTAGGGTTGTTCATTAACAAGGGAAATAATCAAAGAGCTTCTCTTGATTATCGAGAAACTAAGGAGAGACAGGTTGTTAGAGCTTCTCAATAACCATAACCAATTTAGTGAAGAGTAGAAGATTTTATCATTGCATCTATGATCAATTCTCTGAACCAATTATGAAATTATACCTTTAGTTGGATATTTGCTTGATATTGATCTCTCTAAATTCTTAGTTTATTATAATTGTTTTTTCTCTTTATTTTTCTTAATTTCACAACCCTTTTCTTTGCTTTAATTTTCATTAAAATAAGTCTACTCAATCCCTATGGATTCGACCTTGCTTATCGCTACTACAATTTATATTTCTAAAAGCAGGTATTATTATTTGTTGGATTCGACACCCACCGTTACCTTTATTTGGATTCAACAAGGTCTTTGCGGTGAGTCTTCTCTCTGAGTTTCACTCTCTATCTCCCCGTTTTTTAAAATTAAAATTTGGTTAGAATACCATGTTACCATGGAAGTCCTGGGTGCCGGATGCCGCATAGTTTGATATATCTTAAACTATGGCCTGCAGGCTTCCAATGGAAGGTTACTGTAACTGAGTTGGTTTTGCCTGGAGATTTCCTTACAGTAAAGTTTACCTTTTGCATGCCCAAGGTTTTGTTTGCTATTTATACAATCGTTGCTTAGCCAAAATTCCTTGTGATCATTTAATGACAGATGAGTTTTCCAATACATCTGGCAAAAGGAACTGGACATGCAAATGCTCTTCCGTATATCCAGGAAAACAAAGTGATGTTCTTAAATCTAACTGTTCTAGATCCTGTGATTGCAGTTCAGGTATGCAATATTCGTTTGGTAGATTTCTTTTTGAATTTTTAAACTAATTTCGTATAAGTTTTCTGCTATTTCTATTCTATTTAACTACTATTAAATCTCAAAGTAGACTTAGTTGTCGTATAATCTACCCAAATTAATGCACAACTTTTGGAGTATTATCGTGTTGAATGCTTCGTGCTTATGTAATGTCCGGCATTTTTTGGAGCTATTACTATCATTTTGTATCTAAAACATCAAATTGCGTGGCATCCTATGTGGCAGTTGAACCAAATGGAGATAGGTGGAAATGTATGTGTGCTACTGATGGATTCCCCAAAGTAGCAATTGACAATCATAATACTATCTGTTTTACTGCCTGCAACTGCACTGCTGGTATTTTATTCCAACTCTGATGATATATGTTATTTTTGAAGAATTCGATAGTTCAACTGCTACATGTATTATCAACTATACAATTTTGTCTAGCATTTCATTTCATAATATCTTTCATTTGTGGTACTATAGCCTTTTAATCAAATAAATTGGACGGTGCTCAGATAAAGCATTAGGAGCTTATTTAGTGGCACATAATTGTACATTTTGACAGGATCTCTTCCTGAGGCACCCGCGAGAAAGAACACAGAGTTGTTGTGATTGTTCTTTTACTCTGTGTGATTCTCACGACGCTGGCATTTCTTGCCTCGTTAACATGCTATTTTTATCGGAAGGTCAAATGCGCAAAGTGCCCCATCCAACTGGAAGTATTCTCGTCCGATAAAGAAACTAGTTGCAACAGTGCTACCAACTTAATAAGTCACAAAACTTCATCAGCATCAGAAACTAAGGTTAACATCAGCTTCCCTACTAAACCTTTTGCAGGTATATAAGCTTTAACATGTTATGAACTTGCCCTTTTTAATGAACTTCATTTGCTTTCAATTGTGATTCGATTACAAACTCTCAGCCATTTTGATTTTTTTTTGTTTTTGAACCTTGCATTCTGACTTCTGAATTCTGAATTCTGAATTCTGAATTCTGAATTCGGTTTGGACATTTAAAGCACGATGACTTGTCTATTTTCAGGATGCTTTCAAAACGTGTCATTCCTTTGTTGGAGCAAAACGGGGATTGTGCTTAGAACCATTTGCCAGTTTGCCTACTCTGAACTGGAAAATGCAACCAATAAGTTCTCCAATTCCAATCTAATAGGATTCGGGGGAAGTAGCTATGTGTACCGGGGCCAGCTCAAGGATGGAAGAATTGTTGCGGTCAAGCGACTTAAAATTCAAGGAGGAGGCGCTGATGCAGATTCCATATTTTCAACAGAGGTTCAATCTCAACTTGCCTTTTTTTGTCTAAAGTTTTTTGGTTAATGAAAACTCTCATTATTTTCCATCTTTTTTAACAGATCTTCACAAAATGCAATCAGGTATTTTACAGTGTTGTTTTGCGTAGGTCGAGCTGTTGTCAAGGCTACATCACTGTCACGTGATGCCCTTGCTTGGTTACTGTTCAGAATTCAGTGGGAAACATGCCGAGAGACTGCTGGTATTCGAATACATGCCTAATGGTAATTTGAGGGATTGCTTGGATGGAGTTTTGGGCGAGAATATGTCCTGGGAAACTCGTGTCGCGATTGCTATTGATGCTGCAAGGGGATTGGAATATCTCCATGAAGCCGCGGCTCCTAGAATTTTGCATAGAGATGTGAAATCTACAAATATTCTTCTGGACAAGAACTGGAGAGCAAAAGTAAGGATGGTTTCTTTTAGAAATCTAACATATGTTAATTTCTCACCTGTTGGTGTATATATTGATTTCTGACATAAGTACTGAAAATGTTCAGATAACTGATCTCGGTATGGCCAAACGTTTTAGAGCTGATGGACTTCCCAGCTGTTCGAGTTCTCCAGCAAGAATGCAGCGAACCTTTGGCTATTTTTCCCCAGAATATGCAATTATTGGAAAAGCCTCGCCTATGTCGGACGTTTTTAGTTTTGGTGTAGTTCTTCTGGAACTGATCACCGGTCGGCAACCCATCCACAAATCGAACAATAGAGAAGAAAGTCTTGTTATCTGGGTAAAGTAGCCATTTCATGTTATTATATCTCCTCTTTTTAATGCAACTATCTTGTTGCGGAAGACGGCTATCGGATAGAGCAAAATCGCAACTGATAATTTGAGAAAATAAAAATGAAGATAAAAGAGACACAAAATTTACGTGGAAAACCCCTAAAAATTTAGGGTAAAAACCACGGGCAACGGTAGAAGAATTTCACTATGAGAAAATAGGAATTACAACCTCTCTCGATCTACCAAGGAGAAAACAATGATAATTCTCTCTAGATAAAAAGGAGAAAACAATTCTCAAGAAACTCTCTAAAATCTCTCTAGTATTGGAAGAAAGCTAGAATGCTTTGGGATGATTTTGAAGTTATATGAGCTAGGGTATTTATAGTTGAAACTTAAGGACTAATCTTATAAATACCCTAAATTACAATGACTAAAATTAATTATCCCATTACCCAATTTCAACAAAAATTAGGTGTCTAATTTTTGACTTTGACAAAGAACCATTTGGTGTCTAATTTGGTGCCTAAATTATTTGACTTTTAACAATCTCCCACTTGAAGATTTGATTGGAATAATCATATCTTCACACCATTCTTTCTACCTTGTACCTTCATGTTGCTTACGTTTCTGACAGGCCACAGGAGGGTCGACACCAGGTAAATTTATCAGCGTTGATCGCCTTCGTCATGAAATCTATTATGTTGTCTTTGGTATGGATCTTCTGCATATCTACTGTCCCTTCTTCCACCTTTTCACGAATGAAATGGTACTGAACTCGTATGTGTTTTGTCCTTGAATGAAATGTTGGATTCCTTGCTAGATGAAAGGCGCTTTGACTGTCACAAAACAGAGAGACATACTCTTGATTGTGCCCAAGCTCCTCCAATAGCATCTTCAACCAAATTGCTTCTTTACTGGCTTGTGTAGCTGCTACATATTCTGCCTCTGTTGTGGATGTAGCCACAATTGACTGTAATTTTGAAACCTAGCTTACAGCTCCACCAGCAACTTTGAACACATATCCTGTAGTAGATTTGCTTTTATCCAAATCCCCTGCATAGTCAGAATCTACATACCCATTGATTAGTAAGTTTGATCCTTCATAACATAATGCAACATTTGAGGTCCCTTTGATGTATCTCAGGATCCTCTTTACTGTATTCCAATGCTCTTTGCCTGGATTCGCCATGTATCGACTAACCACTCCCACTGCTTGTGCAATGTCTGGTCTTGTGCATATCATAGCGAACATTAAACTTCCCACTGCTGATACATACGGTACTCGAGACATCTCCATCCTCTCTTCTTCACTGCTAGGACTCATACTGGAGGATAATTTGAAGTTAATAGGAAGAGGGGTAGAAATTGGCTTACAATCTTGCATGCTAAATCGTGATAAGATTTTCTTCAAGTAATTCTTTTGTGAAAGCCAAATCTTCCTATTACTTCTGTCTCGGTGAATTTGCATCCCTAGAATCTTGTTTGCTGATCCCAAGTCCTTCATTTCAAATTCCCTAGCCAGTTGTGCCTTCAATTCTTCAATATGATCTTTGTTGGGTCCTGCAACCAACATGTCATCCACATAAAACAACAAAATAACAAAATCGTTATCACCAGACCTCTTGAAATAAGCACAAGAGTCTGCATTAAGTCTGTTGTATCCAAGGCACATAATGAAATAATCAAATCTCTTATACCAACACCTCGGCGCCTGCTTTAGACCGTACAGAGATTGTTCAACCTGCAAACCAAGTTCTTCTTTTCTTTTTCTTCAAAACCTTCAGGCTGGAGCATATAAATTTCTTCTTCAAGATTTCCATGAAGAAAAGCTGTTTTAACATCTAGTTGCTCTAGATGCAAGTCCAATGTAGCACGCATTGCCAAAACTACTCGAACTGTTGTTAGTCGAACCACATGAGAAAATATTTCATTGAAATCAATACCTTCCTTTTGAGCATATCCTTTGACCACCAGTCTTGCACGATACCTCTCAACTTGATCATCACCATTTCGCTTGATTTTGAAGACCCATTTGTTACCAATTGGTTTCCTTCCTTGTGGTAGTGTCACAAGGTCCCATGTATTATTTTTATGAAGGGCTTCAATTTCTTCTTGCATCGCCATCATCCACAGTGAAGCATCTAAGTTGTTTATTGCCTCATGATATGTTGATGGCTCACCGTCCTCTGTTAAAAGGCAGTATGCAATATTACCTTCTATAACATAATCTGAGTGCCAATTGGGACGTCTTCTCACACGATCTGATTGACGAGTTGTTGGTGCTTCAGAACTCTCTGGTTCTTGTTCATCATGTGCTGGTTCTGCTTCAGAAGAATCTCCTCGTTCAAACTCCTTTTCCATATTTATCTGTGTAGTCTCTGACTTTTCAGTGCTATCATCGTCTTCTTTTCTTTGTAGTTTATCCTCTACAAAGATAACATCCTTGCTGATGATCACTTTGCGGGTAGTGGGATCCCACAAGCGATACCCCTTGACTCCATCAGCATACCCCAAGAATTTGCATTTCCTGGATTTTGGATCCAGCTTTGAGATTTCTTGGGAGTTGTACATCACGTACACAATACTTCCAAATATATGGAGGTTTGAATAATCAGCTGGTTTACCAGTCCACATCTCCATTGGTGTCTTCAGCTCTATTGCAGTTGATGGAGCTCGATTCACCAAATAACAGGCGGTATTGACTGCTTCTGCCCAGAATGATTTTTCTAGGCCTGCATCCTTCAACATTGCTCTTGTTCTTTCTAACAAGGTTCTGTTCATCCGCTCTGCCACTCCATTTTGTTGAGGAGTGTTTGCCACTGTGAATTGTCTTTTGATGCCTTCTTTCCTGCAAAAGTCATCAAATTCTTCGCTTGTGTATTCTCCTCCATTATCTGTTCTGAAACACTTGATCTTATTTCCAGAATCAAGTTCCACCCGCGCTTTGAAGATTTTGAAAGTTGAAAACACGTCTGACTTCTTCTTAATAGGGTACACCCAATATCTCCTGGAGTAGTCATCAATAAATGAGACAAAGTATTTTGCTCCGCCTAGGGATGTAACTGGTGCTTGCCATACGTCAGATTGAACCAATTCTAGAACATTTTTGCCTCTAGAATTTGATGTGTTGAATTTCAACCGGTGCTGCTTACTTGTTATGCAATGCTCAAACAAATTAAGTGATACATTCGTTAAGCCTGGAAGTAGCTTTTGCTCCACAATGACTTTCATTCCTTGTTCTGACATGTGTCCAAGTTTCTGATACCATAGCATTACAGAATCTGAACTACATGAGGCAACAGAGGCTTATGCTTCTAGCAAAGTCTCTCCCTTCAACATGTACAAGTTTGCTGCTATCTTTTCGCCTTTCAGCACCACAAGCGCTCCACGGAACACCTTCATGATTCATTTCTGTGTTTCAATCTTGCTAGCATTATTATCCAACAATCCGTAGGATAATAAATTTTTCTTCAGGCCTTTCACGTGCCGCACATCTCGAACAACTTTAATTGTTACATCATACATCTTTAATTTCATGGTTCCCATACCAATGATCTCTAAGGCATGATCATTGCAACTATACACAGATCCTCATGAGACAGGTTCATAATGATGGAACCATTCTCTTCTTGAGGTCATGTGATATGTTGCTCCCGAATCAATGAGCCATATATCTGCAAATCGTTTTCTACCTTCCACGGTGGTTGACGCTTCACAGCATAGAGCATCTCCATCATCTGAAGTGTTTGCGGTATTGCCTTGTGGATTGGAGTTTTTATTTAGACTCCAACAATCCTTCTTCAAGTGACCCTTCTTTCCACAGTGGTAGCACTCTAAATTCTTTTTGCTTCTTGACTTCGATCTACCATGTTTGTGACTGCTGCTTTGGCTACGTTATGTTGATCTCCCTCTCATCGTTTTCAAAGCTTCTGCTTGTTACAGATTTACTTGTATGTCTTCCTTGTTCTTGCGCCGATTTTCTTCTTGTAGAACAGCAGCTGCAACGTCATCGAAGACTAGACTGGTGATATTATTATTTGTCAAGTTGATGATGAGTTGATCATACGAATCCGGTAGACTTTGAAGTAGAAGTTCATCACGTTCTTGTTCTCCTATTTTACAACTTAAGGATGTAAGTTGAGAAAATAAAGTGTTCAGCATGTTTAAGTGCTCCGTCACTGAAGTAGATTCTGGCATCCGGAGAGTGTACAATTTCCTCTTAAGGAAAATTTTATTGTGCAGTGATGTGGCCTCATACAATTTGGTGAGATGATCTCATATCTCCTTAGTTGTCTTCTTCTCCTCGATGCTTGACAATACTTCATCTGCTAATGCTAGATAAAAGTTGGCATAGCATTCCCGTCCATTTCGATCCATTTGTTGTCATCTGTGAAATCCACCGGTCTTTCACTGATAGCTGTTAGACAACCGTCTTTCCTCATGATGGCCTTCATTTTCAATTTCCACAATGAGAAATTTCTCCCATTGAATTTTTCAATATCAAATTTCGTTGCCATAGCTTCTTTTACGGATAGCTCCCACTATTTCACTATCGTGAATATTTCTCTAGAACCTTCAAAGAATGGGTAATAACTTCTTATTTTCTTATGTTGGAGGATCCACCTTTTGGTGGCAACCACAAAGACAATAAGCAGATATTACACACTCTAATCTAACTCGGATACCAATTGTTGCAGAAGACGGCTATCGGATAGAGCAAAATCGCAACTGATAATTTGAGAAAATAAAAATGAAGATAAAAGAGACACAAAATTTACGTGGAAAACCCCTAAAAATTTAGGGTAAAAACCACGGGCAACGGTAGAAGAATTTTACTATGAGAAAATATGAATTACAACATCTCTCGATCTACCAAGGAGAAAACAATGATAATTCTCTCTAGATAAAAAGTAGAAAACAACTCTCAAGAAACTCTCTAAAATCTCTCTAGTATTGGAAGAAAGCTAGAATGCTTTGGGATGATTTTGAAGCTATATGAGCTAGGGTATTTATAGTTGAAACTTAAGGACTAATCTTATAAATACCCTAAATTACAATGACTAAAATTAATTATCCCATTACCCAATTTCAACAAAAATTAGGTGCCTAATTTTTGACTTTGACAAAGCACCATTTGGTGCCTAAATTATTTGACTTTTAACATATCTATGTTGGTTGATTTTATTCTTAAAACATTTGTCCATACTTTGTCCCATTCAGGCTACCCCTCGTTTACAGGATAGTAACAGAGTGACCTCGCAGTTACCGGACTCGCGTTTAAAAGGGAATTTTCCAGAAGAAGAGATGCAGGTAATGGCTTACCTAGCAAAGGAGTGCTTGCTGTTGGACCCCGATGCTCGACCAACAATGAGTGAGGTTGTGCAAATCCTTTCGACTATTGCATCAGATAAATCGAAAAGAAGAAATACTCCTGTAAACTTTTACCAGGTAATGTTTTTAAATCCATTTAGAAGTTGATTATCACATAACAATCTCGAGACTGAAATAGTAAGTTTTAACAATGGTATGCAGTACCATTCAGTGAAACTACTAGTTTCAGTCCAATGATATCTAAACAACGCACCTCATACTCTGAGGGTTGCCACTTGCCAATAATGTTGCATGGTTTGTTAACTGCGCAGATGTCATCCGCCCATAACATGAAGAATGAAGCTCTTCTCGAAAGACATCAAACCATAATCGAGGATTTATACGGCACAGGGAACACATGCCGACTACATCAAAGTCAGCAGAGAGCTCACTGCCATCAGGCACGAGTGATATTGGAATTTTCAGCAAACATATAGGAACCCTTCCTGCTGAGTGTATGGAGAGGCTGGTTCTTTTGAGTTCCAATGATCGGAGTTCGCATGTCCTTGATGATGAAGCAGTAGACTTAATAGAGCCTCGGTTTGAATCGTTTTGCATGGTGAATGTCAAGTCCCCGTGAGAAGAACAATCAAGGTGACCGGATTAAACACATTTTGCACCCAAGTTTTCCTTTTGTGTACTGTAAAGAAAGAACATTGTAGAGGAAACAAGTAGGTTTTTTAGGAGTATACATTTGATGTTCTATTTATTTCTTTAAAGAATAGGCAAAACTAAGCTTGTGTTAGTACTAGGTGATAGTTTTTCATTGATTACATTTCATGCCTTTTGTACAGAAAATTATACAAAATTAATTATTCAAATCAAAGTCTGTAGGGTAACCCGTGGATCCACTTCCACCTCCAATTGTATTGTTGCCTCGTCGTGGAGGGATTTTGGAATCTCAGTAAGGCATCGGTTCTCTCCGGTACGACATTTTAGATACTCGTAGGAATCAACACAGTAGTGTACTTAAATAAATTATCGAATTAAATTAAAATGAGGATCAAATTGATAAAATGTGTAATTATATCAATATTTTTAACCACGTCAGCCTCCCTATTAAGCGTTAACCACTCGTAACTTGATTGGAATACTTAAATAGTTAAGTGATATGATTGATAAAATTAAAAGATCAATGGTTAAAATGAAAAGGGACAATAGTTAAGTGATCATATGTATAATTTATCTAAAAGTTAAATACAGACCAACAGAGATTAGAGATTGTAGGGGAAAATAAAGAAAAATGTGACTACTTTAGTGATAGTAATAATAAAGTTACACTTGAGATTCCAATACACACATTTTAATTCCATATCTACACTTTAGTACTTTGTATTAAAAGAATAACAAAGTAACCACCCTAAGGACCTTATTAAAAAACCTCTTTAATCCTAGTCGGAGGAA